CAATGGATAATCTCTGTGGGAGTAGTGCTGACATGCCTATTGACCTGTCCCACAATTCAGGAAGTACATATTTTACTTTGTTACAAGAAGCTAAATACCTTATATATACACATCTAACCCCAAATTAAAGTTAGAATAATATAGCCATTTCTCATTAAACATTTTGATCTGAGTAATTTACAAGTATCATAATACAGTTCAAAAACATACTCTAAATTAGATGCATATTTTATTATAGGGATACATTATAATTTTAAGCTATTCTTGTTTGCTTAATTTGTTTACTTTTATTCTAAAATAAATAATAACATAGTGAATATTTTCTATACATGTTTAATATAATTCTGCTTTCTTACTTTAGGGATTTCTAAAAATTGAATTATTACAGATGGAAAAACTTAGGTATATGCTCTAAATTTCCAACTGGCAGTCCTATTTTCCCCAAATACATGTGAAAAGGCTGTCTCATTAAGTGTGTATACTTTTGGGTTTTAATGCAGAAGTATAAAATGATAGGTCCATATTGCCTCAAATGATATTTTGTTGATTTTTAGAAACTTTGAACATTTTAAAAGTGCGTTTATTTTACACTTGCTTTTTTATCTAAAGATTATCTATAAAAATCTAGTGTCTAAATTTATTGTTTTTTCTTTAAAAATGACTAATAAAATATATATATAGTTTTGCATGAAGTAACAAATATGCTCCACTATGACAGAGTATTTTTTAATTTCTTGGCAAGCAATCAAGTGCCAAGGTGATTAAGACATGGAGCTTAATAAAAGTAGTAATATTCAAGCCTCTATTCACTTACCACCACAGTGCCATCAACAGCAACAAAGTGGTACCAGACATTTTTCCCCCTGAGGAACAACATGGGGCAAGAGTCCCAGTGAATGCAGCACAGATGAAGGAAACTTCTCATTGCTAAGGAGCCTTGAAAAAAAGGTTCTGGACTCTTTATGGGTTTGGTGGGGAGGGAAAGAAAAAGAGGCCTAAGAGTGTAAAAATATTAAGTCAATGTGGAAAAATGTGCCCCCTTCCATAAAGAGGTCTCTCTGGAGGCACATGGGAAATGTCCCAGCTGAGTCCCTCTGCTCCCCTGTAATGAAATAGGCCTCTGAATAAGGTCTGTGTGTTGTTGAGAAGAATAATCTGAAACTATTGTGTGTTACATTTTGTTTTCATTTAGCTAAGTGGATTGATAGTACCATCTGCATTTTGTATATCTTTACTGATTTTCTGTCTATTTATTCTACCGATTACTGAATGGGAGGTACTCACATCTCAAGTATAAGTGTAGTTTTACTTATTTCTCTTTTGCATTATGTCAGTTTCTGCTTCATATATTTTGAAGCTCTGTTATTAAATGTACAATTCAATATGATTAGTTGACCTGCTTATGTTTATGAAATAAAGTCATTTTTAATAGTTTGTTACATTGAAATCAACATGTAATGAAGATTTGTTATTAATAAGACTAAACCAGTATTTATTTTGCTTAATTTTTACATGATATCTCTCTCTCATTATTTTACTTTGTTTAGTTTTTATATAATATCTCTCTCTCATTATTTTGCTTTCAACATGTCTTTTTATATGAAATAAGTATCTTTTAAATATTTGAGTTTGTTTCAGATGCCATTAGTAATATCTCTGCCTATTAATGGAAGTGTGTAATCAATTTATATTTACTGTGATCCTGGATATAGCTGGATTTAAGTATATCATATTACTATTTACTTGTTTTATACCCTCTCTTTTCCTTCCTTCTGAATGTAAATATATTTTTCTCTAAGGAGAAGGAATAGTTTATATCTCTCCTTAAAATGTTATAGTTTAATATATAAAACTCTGATATTGTTTGACATGTTCAAAAATTAGTAACACAAACATCAAAGTGGAAAAAATGTCATTTAAAAAATTCCAAAAAATATTATAACTTAAAAATTGCATTTTGTATTTACTTCCAAAAATAATTTGAATATAATATGCATTTTGTTTTCTTTAATATATTACAGTGAACTTAAATATCATGAAAAATAGTGTTAATTACCACCATTTATAACCATTACACAATATGAACAATACATTTGTGAATACACATTAAATTTTAAATTACTTAACTTAAATATAAACTATTTCAGAACTTCAGTATAGCCATAACTATGATTATTAATCAGTAAGGAAAATTATATATCTGAAGCAATATTCTATTGTTAAGACCATTAGTAATGCATATTATTTTCATCATCATCTAAATTTTAACCCAGTGATAAGAACTATAGTATTCCTTTCTTGCTAATATTTTATTTAATGGAAGTCATTAATTTAAGGTAGAATTACTGAGAAGGCAGATTTGTCAAGGTGATGATAAGTTCAGTCAAGCTCTTTAAAGAATAAATTAAAACTGGATTCAGAGTCAGTAACATAACTTGTTGAGACACTAGAATAGGTGAGATTTGCTACAGAGAAATGATGGTGGAGGAAGAGAAAATTAAAAATAAACGTCAGTATAAATGCTCAGAGACTATCTTGAAACAAAACAGAAATGAAAACCCAAAATATAAGTAATATAAAAGAAATTCAAACCAAAGTAGGAGAGACATTTCAATTAGACAATCTCCTATTAAGGAAAGGGTAAATATATTTTAAAGGAAAAAGAAGTGCTAGTACATTGTACTGAAAGTAGGTATGTATATAGTATCTAAAAGTATGAGTTCTGGAGTTGCATAGAGTAAGTTTAAATCTATCTTAATCCCTCCGTATCAAAATGTATGAACTTAAATATTAAAAGCTCAACAGATTTTTAAGTTTCTATAAATTGAATGGTATTTAAGCGTAGATCATGGAATACTACTTGGCAATGAGAAAGAATGAAATATGGCCTTTTGTAACAACGTGGATGGAACTGGAGAGTGTTATGCTAAGTGAAAAAAGTCATACAGAGAAAGACAGATACCATATGTTTTCACTCTTATGTGGATCCTGAGAAACTTAACAGAAGACCATGGGGGAGGGGAAGAAAAAAAAAAGAGAGGGAGGGAGCCAAACTATAAGAGACTCTTAAAAACTGAGAATAAACTGAGGGTTGATGGGGGGTGGGAGGGAGGGGAAAGTGGATGATGGGCATTGAAGAGGGCACCTGTTGGGATAAGCACTGGGTGTTAAAAAGAAAATTAAAATATGAAATCAATGAGATCAAATGAAGTAATGACTATAAATGATATGCTATAATATCTAAGGTATTACAGATGCAAAATAAATATTATGTTCTAATCCTGTATATCATTGTACAGTAACACTATTATATTTTAGCATTTTTCCAGAAGTAGACAAATGTATACATATAAATTTGTCCATGATTCATTCCATAAGTTGGCTTTTCATCACTTACAAAAATATTTCATTAAAATATTTTGTATTTAGAGAAAAAAATAAAAGGCCATAATCCTACCCTCATTTGCCAGAACTGTTTTAAGAAATAAAGCTTGATAGGGGCACCTGGGTGGTTCAGTTGGTTAAGTGTCCAACTCTTGATTTTGCCTCAGGTCATAACCCTACTGCTTGTGGGATCAAGCCCACCATTGGCTCAGCCAGCATGGAGCCTGCCCAGAGAACCTCTCTCTCTCTCTCTCTCTCTCTCTCTCTCTCTCTCTCTCTCGCTGTCCCTCCCCTGCTCGTGTATTCTCTTTCTGTCTCTCAAAAGAAATAAATAAACTTTTTTTAAAAAATGAAATAAAGGGGCGCCTGGGTGGCGCAGTCGGTTGGCGTCGACTGCAACCAGGTCGTCTACCGCACTCTGAGTTGAGGCCCAGCGTCTAGGGCTCAGGCTGATGGCTGCGCCAGAGCCTGGGCCTATTTCGAATTCTGTGTCTCTCTCTCTCTGCCCTTCCCGTTCACAATGTCTGTCTCTCTGTGTCCCAAAAATAAATAAACGTTGAAAAAAAAATTAAAAAAAAAATGAAATAAAGCATCATAAACAGATTTCTTTTTTTTTTTTTTTTTTTAATTTTTTCAGCGTTTATTTATTTTTTGGGACAGAGAGACTTTGGAAACATGTCGGGAAGAACAGAAGAAGAAGAAGGAAAATAAAGGCTGAAACTCAACTCTAACCATCAGCGAACTCAACAGGTCGTGACGAACACTGTAATAGCGCACTAAACAATTTTCCAAGTTTGCTTTGTACCCTCCCTGATTTCTTTCCCCACCTGTCCCCTTGGAGAACTCTTCTAGTAAAGCCAGTGTGTGTATTTCTGATATATGTATTTAGTTAAAAAATAACTAATCATTATCAGACTATGTATATATCTACCAGACTTCAATAAGATTTTAAAATTCAACATTATGTTTGATACTTATTAACTAATAATACATGTCACTATTGTTCACTTATTTTAACCACTCATCGTAATTCCACAGTGTGACTACGCTATGATGAATTTACCCACTGTCCTATCCATAGGCTTTAGTTTGTTTCAGGTTTGCCATGAAAATTCTTGTATGTCTCTTTCAGTGCACACCTGATAATTTCTCCAGGAAACATACTAAAAGTGGAAATGCTGAGTTGTAGGATATGCCTTACATTGTGTGCAGCACACCCATTGTGTATTTGTAAAGTCATTTTAAAAACTATCCACCAAAAAAAGAGCATATTTGTATATTGTAACTCCAAGACTAATTTTATTCTCCATCTAATTTAAGAGCTAAGGCATTAGTGACTGTGGTTTTATATATACAGAAATATATCACCAGGATTCAATTAACTATATACTTATTTTACAATAAACACACTTACTAGAACTCTTATTAATGCCCTTCCTACATAATTCTTATAAGTTAAACATGTCTACTACTAAATTTATAGAAGTCATGGTTAAATATACCTATAAGGATATAATTCTCTGGCTTAGATTAATAAAAGCATTTGAAATACAGACTGCCTGAAGCTATTGTATTTTCAAGTGCTAAATTACTCTGCCATGTATGAAATTACTTACTCTGAATCTTCCACTTATATTGAAATGCCATCCTTCATTCAGACAGTTGATGCTGAGCCGTCTACAGTGGTCAATTACTTTCTCACAGTTTTTTCCAGTAAATCCTAGCAAACAACTGTAAATACATCCATGTAAATAGGAAAAGTTACAATGTAAATATTATCACAAAAGTCTATTAGCAATCTGACAAAAATAATAATGCTTTGTTTAAATCACATACAAGGCATATTACTACCTGATATTTTCAACCATTAATTTTGTCTATGCATATTTCTGTTCTTAGTTATCTATTTAGTGAGAATCTGATAATTTCTCCAGGAAAGGCTATTCATTTAATAGCCTTAATATCATCTTTTGAGAATTTAAAAGTAAAATAAACTTAGGCCTAATTGAATACTTAACAATAAAATACAGGTTTTAGAAAACTATCAGAATAAATAAGACCATTATTAAAATGTGAAAAAGAAAGATGACAGGTGAGATTTCTAATGCTTAGTAAAGCCATTCTCCACTGATGATTTGCTACAAGGATCTGATGACACACATGAATTTGAGACATAGTATAGAGAGTTACATTGAACAGTAATGGTATGGCCACAACTGGGCTAATTGCAGAGACTTATTTATGTTCATCCTCACTTTAAAAAAAAAAAATAAAGCAATCTTGTAGTGTAAATGCCTAGGAATAAGCTTTTTTGATTATAATGAGAATGCCTGACATCAATCTTTTGATTGACAAGGCATCCACTTCAGACATCCATCCCTAGTAAATGTTTTGCCAGCTGTATCACACAGCTACTAGCTACACAACTAGATCAGAAGCCAGGCCTTCCCTTCCAATGAAGTTCCCTTTTAACAAACTCCTGTGTAACTAAATAACTGACCCCCTGAGTGACCCTGAATTTCCTTTCCCACTCCCTAATTCTCACTCTTTTGTTCTAAATTCACCAGTAAAGAATGAATCTGTGAAACTGCAGACACCCCACTCTGGACCCCAATGAAAGCAGAAACCTAGGTCCACGTATTTCCTCTCTCTCTCTCTCTCTCTCTGCCAGCAACTTGGCTGCTGGCCTGTGGGCATGCCTTGTACCCCCCAGAACTTGGGAATGCTTAACCTTGTTTTTCAAAGATCCCTGATGGTAGGTGCATCTTGCAATCATACGAGCCACAGGGGGCAGTCTAGCCATAACATTGGCTCCTGTGGGGGAAACATATGCAGAAGCTGCCACAAGTGGTATTGGCCTGGGTGATTCCCCAGGCATCCCTGGCTGATAGCATCTCTATCAATAGGTTGAGACATGCACAAACAAATCTAGATACCAGTTTACTTCAATTCATGAGCTGCAATCAATAAGATGCTAAGAACACACGGTGTTTTGTCTTTCTTTGCCCTCACTTATTTATTTGTGAGAAATATTCCTATACTTTAAATCACATTTAGTAAACTTTCTATCAAGTGAATGGAGCACCAAATTAAATGATGATGTGTCTCTCTAAAGTGGATACTAGTGATTTTAAGACCGAAATAATACTTTTAAGACAAAGTTGTTTTAAGCTGATTTAATAATGAAGCAAATTGTACAATATATTAATTATTTCAAGTTTATTTTAAGAACACAGGAGAATTTCATAAAAGAAGGAATCAAAGGCCATGTTGACACAGTTTAATGGAAACAGCATCAGTAAAATACTTAGTAATTCTCTTCCCCTGCTGTTCAAGGCACAGCATGGCACTTTCAACTTGTAGAATTAAATCATTCCCTCCGTTGTGTCAGCAATGCCATCCATTTTTTAGCACCTACTATGTTCCAGCCACTAGTTTAATTATTTTCACACTATTTTCTTATTTTCACATTTAATCCTTATAAACACCATATAAGGTCCATTTATATGGATTATAAAATCCATATAAATCCTTATATGTGATACATATTATTACCACTATATTAAATTAAGAAACAAACTCAGAGAAGTTAAGAGATTTACTTTGGTCATATCACTAGTTTTAGAGATGTTATTAAAATTAAGTATGGTGTAACTTTATATGCATTATATTTGCTACTCCATTAATAAAAACTGTTAGGACATGTTTACCTTACTTCTCTCATTCTGAGGATCTACCTAGAAACCCAGAAATCACTCCAAGTATCACTTGGTTATGAAAGGAAGCACTCTCACTCATTTCTACTGGGAGTAGAAAAACAGAAGTAGCAGGAATAAGGAAACATCATAATGACCTAAAATTTTGGTTTGGTGAGTAATACTTATCATATCTCAATTTTCTTTGGGAGGGAATGAATCCAACTGTTGACGACTAACTAAGGACAAGTGTAGTATTTAGACTTATCTTATTCTGGAGTATGGTTTCCAAAGAGAAGGATCAGAGCTATAGTCATTCATGAAATCAGATCAACAGGTTTCAAGTCCTAGAAAGATGTTTCTAAAAAAAGCAGAACTTACTAATTATGAAAAATTGGGCCAAAGTATTAGCACCCTCACAACATACCTAGAAGGAAGCCCCAAAACACCATTTATAATACTTGGCCTAGGGAGGTTTAACCCAAAGGCAAAGGGAATCCATAATGAGAAAATTTTTCTGTTGAGATAACAGAATATCAACCTTCCATGCCTCCACTCCGACTCATGGTTTGACATCTAAGAGGAGCTCTTGAACCTCATCCTAATGACATCCTAACAACTCAGTCTGCAGGCAAGGAAAGAAAAGGCTACTATCCTTAACACAAGAATTTAAACCAGGGGTGCCTGGGTGGCTCAGTTGGTTAAGTGAGTGACTCCTGATTTTGACTCAGGTCATGATCTCATAGTAGTGGTGAGATCGAGCCTGTGTCAGTCTCTGTACTAAGCAGTGGAGTCTGATTAAGATTCTCTCTCCCTCTGCCCTTCTCCCATTCCTCTCTCTTTCTAAAAAAAAAAAAAGACTTTAAACCAGAGAAAATAAAACCAAACAAAAAGAAATAAAAGCAAACTCTAGAATAATACAGATGCTTTGAGAAATTCTATTACAAAAGTGCAAGTAAAGATGAAAAATTCTAAAGGTAAGGAAAAATAAATGAAAGAGAAAGAGAAATTTCAAACAGCATCAATATTTGCCTCAATAACTTAGACAGATATGATTTTCATGAAATACAATACAGAAAATAATGTGGTAAAATAGCATATAAACAGGGAGGTGACTTAGTAGCTAACAAAAATAAAATGGAGCCAAGAGTTAAGAACGAAATGCTTTGACGTTAAAGTACGTAGAAATAAAATATGTTCAATATAAACACTAAAGTCAGAATTGTCACCTCACCCCCTCCCCCAAATCCATCAGAAGTATATAATTCATATTTGGGAATATACAGCAAAAAGTGGAAGAAAGAAAATATAAAAAATAAACACTTAAAACACAGTGAATCAGAATATTTTAAAAGTTTGATAAGGACAAAGATACATTTTATGAACTGGTTTGTGTGAATATCAGAACACAATAGCTAATATTTGGCAATTTTCTGTAAACTTTATTATATTTAGCTTTTCTACCCTTTCTTCATTCATATTTCAACCTTCATAAAGTAAACTATTATGGCTTACTGATACATTCCCTATGACATTACAACAGGCATAAATTTTAAGCAAAATACAGTGCCCAATATTTTATTTTAAATGAAGTCTTAGTACAAAATTACGCTGACTATATTTTGCATCAAGAGAAAAGTACTACAATTAATGAGGCCAGAGTCATTTCTTTAAAAGATCATGAGATATATATTTTTCCAGAATGTGTAATTAAGAAATCAAGAGAAAGAACACAAATACACAAAAATAAAAATGCAAAAGGGAATATGAGGACAAATAGAAGCTAAAAACACTACATATTCCTTAGTGCAATTATGCCAAAAAGTTTATGTCAAAATATAGATTGCCAAAATTGAATGAAAATAAAGGTTGAATAGAACAAATATTTGGTGGAACTAACTAAAAGATGCTAGACTTATTTATTTATATGAATGAAGAATTCAAATTCCTATTAAAGAGATGATTCTTGTGATATGTTAGTCTTGATTCTAAGAAGATGTTTGCTAGTTATGTATCAAGTATCAAAAATTTTCAGAATTTGGATGCAAAAGACTCAAAATGTACAACAATAATAGTTACCACTAAATCCATACTTGAAAATGAAAATATGTTGTATTTATTGACACAAAATTATATTTCTAGGAATTTATCCTGAAGAAATAATCAGATGTAATAAATATATATTTACATCCATATTTCTGCCATGATATCCCAAAGCGCCTACAGAAAGGAGACAACTTCTAATGTAAGAGGTCATTCTAATCCACCATCCTGGCCCACCATCACTCTTCCATACCACCAATAATCCAAGGACATTATAAACAAGAAACCAATTCATGTCCAAATTGTCCATTCTTCTTCAGAAACCTTGGTCATCAAAAGTTTCACGTTAATGATTCCAATTTTCATTGTATATTTTAAATATAATTAATTTAGCATCATCTTAGCTTTTTTTTTTCTCTCATAAAATGTATATTTTACTCTTGAACTGAGAAGAAACAAAACATTTTGTTCTCAGGCAACTATAAGCAGTTCTCTACGACTAGAGCTCAAAGTGAATAATGAGAGTAGCAAGAGAAGAGAAAGGAGAAGGTGATCATGAAGGAATTTGTAAGAGTTACCTAAGTATCAAAATGTAAGACTGGGGCGCCTGGGTGGCGCAGTCGGTTAAGCGTCCGACTTCAGCCAGGTCACGATCTCGCGGTCCGGGAGTTCGAGCCCCGCGTCGGGGCTCTGGGCTGATGGCTCAGAGCCTGGAGCCTGTTTCCCATTCTGTGTCTCCCTCTCTCTCTGCCCCTCCCCCGTTCATGCTCTGTCTCTCTCTATCCCAAAAATAAATAAACGTTGAAAAAAAAAATGTAAGACTGAAAACCAGGAGATTTGGAAGTAGGGAATTGAAATGAAAGAAAATAAACAATTAGGGGTGCCTGGGTGGCTCAGTAGGTTGAGCGTCTGACTTCAGCTCAGGTCATGATCTCACAGTTGACGAGTTCGAGCCCCGTGTTGGGCTCTGTGCTGACAGCTCAGGGCCTGGAG